AAAATGTTATGTGATCTCAATAAGAAGGATAAAAAGGCAAATTTTTATCCTAAGATAAAATGACTGGCATTCCAATACAAAAAATGAGGAAGTATAGGAGAAAGATTAGGGGTTTAAGAAAATGATGGAAGGTCTAAGCAAGTTGTAGAGGGTTTATGAAGGATGAGTCTTGTAAGGGGAATTTTGTGTGTGAGCAGGTTGTCTGGGATTGGAAGAGAATTGTAAGTTTTTCTAAAAATTGAGCATTGGTGTCCTGGAAGTATTGATACAGGACCAAAGTTTGGTTCTCTGTATTTGAAATGGCAAAGTTTTCTTAGAATGTTGATCTACTCTTAGTTTAAAAAAATAAAAAACTACAAAAGGTTTTTATCTCTAAAATCTGTTTTTTTAAATTTTCAACTGTCTTATGTACTACAGCTTTTTCCTGTGTTACAGTTCCTACCTACTTTCAAGTTGAAAGTGCTGTCTTCTACATTTTAAATGTTAATTTCATTTCTCCAGGTAGATTCTTCCTCTTAAAGCTTTTCAGATTCATATCTATCTCAAGAGTTTAGCCTTTTATGCAACTCAGCCCATGTGATTTACAGGTCCTGTATCATTGCCTTCTGCTTTTCCTCCTTTTTTCCTCAAAAAGGTACATCTGTTTGCTTAACTAAAGTGGTGACTCCCTCAGCTTTTTTTTTTCTTTTCTGGTTCTGACTTAAGACCAGTTTTACCTAGTAGCTGCTGAAAGAAACTGCTGTGACAGTAACACTAGTTTTACCTACTGCTGTCACTCATCAGAGCTTGCCCACTCCCCAAAACTTTGCTAGTGCCTATAAGTTTCAAATACATAACATTTCTATTTCTAATTAACCTCCAACTTTCTCTTTGTTCATACCGAAGACCACCCCAGTCTGTGTGTCTACCCTGAATTGTAATTTTATTTTCCCAGATAACATGGTTTGTTTAGAGATTTGTCTCTACATTTTTATTTGACCTTGACACAACCAATCCACATATATCCCTACTGTGCCACATGCCAGGCACCGTGCCAAGCATATCACATACTTTCTCATTTAACCCTTCCAACATCTCTATGTTATCATCACCACCGTTAGCTGTATTTTAAAGATTAAAAAAGAGAGATTGGCCGGGCGCG